AGAAACGCATTGCAACAGAATATTATTGAAGCTTTGGTGTGCATCAAGGATTGGGACCGTTCCGACCAACGCTTACACGATACAATCTCACCGGCAAACCAAGAATGGATCGACGAATTTAATAGATTAACTTTTAATTTTCAAGATGATCCTTCTGCTTGATCTTGATAATTTCTTTGTAAATATTTATTTACTTTGTAATTTCTAATTTGTATAGTGTTTATTGTAATCTTGTATAGACTTTGTAAGTTTATCAAATTTGTAATTCGTCCCACAATGATTGCACTCTTTTTCCTTACCAAGTTTTTATCCCAATTGGGTTTTTCTTGGTAAGGTTTTTAATGAGGCAATCATGAATTACAAATTTAAAAATCAATAAAGAAGTAATTTTTTTTTATATAGTTCGTTCGTGTGTTCAGTGTTCATTTCATATTTCAAATTGTAATATACACATTGTAATTATACAAATACTTATTTCAACAACATAAAAATATAATATAAAAAAAAAATCGGGCAGCCGGTCAGGCATCGGGCAGCCCGACCAGGCACGGGCAGGCATCCACTAACCGAAACCTGTCCATGGGCAATGTTTAGGTCGGGCAGCCTGAATTTTCAGGCATTTTGGGTTCGGTCATCGGGCAAAAATTCGGACTTTTCGGTGGTCACGGACGGCCCGTCCAAAGTTTCAGTACTAGCCCTAAGATAAAGCTGTTTAGAGTTGGTAAGGTAAGGCCATCTCAGGAATTAATCGTGCCAATATCTTCTGGTCTATGTATTTTGGAACTTGGGAATATCCATATATCATGTATAGAGGAGCTTTAATGCCAGAAAAAGAAAATGTTCAGCTCATGGAATTACACAGTTAACCCATAGAGATGTGCTGCGGTGATGGCGTCTAGATCTCACGACGGTTATGGCGCCCCCCCACCTCAAATCTGGCAGGCGACAACGCAACTGCCTTTCTCCCTCGGCCTGAATTGTCATCCTTTCCATCATCCCTCGGATCTTATGACGGCTCCTCTCACAATCCGTTGGTGTGACCTCCGTCCCCCCAAATCTATTGGCCTCTGACCAGAACTCAACTAATATCCAAACATCATTTCAGACTGCAAGTTCAAACTACATTTTTAAACTTTTCATTTCAAAAAAAAAAAAAAAAAGGTTCAAACCACCACATTTTAAATTTATTTACGAAACGGACCTGTACATTTTTTCCACAACTACATCTAAAGCAGTCAAAAGGATATCCTATTTATTCTCCATAGTAGGAAAACATCTATGCAAATTATACTTAAAACATCAATAATACTTCTCAGCAATCTCGCCAAGGAATGAAAAAAGCTTTAGTGGTCTGGTGAACATGACCATGTGATCAGTCCCATTTATGACCTTCACCTCATTAGGTGGATTCTGCTCAATCATATATCTCTGTAGACCCTCGTCAATCGCATGATCTTGATCGCATATGATGAATACTCTACGAACTGATCCATATTTGCCCTTGGAAAGTTTGGTTTGTTCCAACACCAATTCTTCATCATTAAAAATGGGGTAAGGTCTCAGTAATGATATTGCAAGAGCCAAATCCTGGTTTTCATTCACCATTATACACACATTTTAATTGATTAAGTAACGTAATAATGCTCACGTTCGTGTTAATTATATGGGAAAAACTAATTTCGTTCCGTCGGCGATCCTCGTTGAAATAAATAAAATTTTCGATGAGACCATGGGGGATGAGAATTTTGCATCACTTCAAAAGGACGAATGCGTCACTGAAGTGAATAATAAATTCCTTGAAGTCATTCTTGAAAATAAAACAGATGACATAACAAAAGCTTATAACCAAAGTCAACTAAGTATCGTAAGTCAATTGCTCCCGGTTGTTCAATCATTTGATAACCAGAATCATTCTTTTATAAATGATCACTCTGAGTCAGACTCAATAGAATTTGATCAATCCTTTTTTCTGTCGTTAAGGTAGAAGGGAAAGAACAATAAAATAAGTAGAATGTGGTTCAAAGGGCGTCTTCTCATATTAAAGCAAAAAATGCTAAAGCGCATACATATAGAGAGGTGCAAATGACAGATGCGCCAAATTAGATATAATACTTACCAGAAAGTAATCAAGCTCTAATTCAAGTGGTTACCTTTGGTGGGGAAAGCTGGTACAACTTTGATGCCAACATGTTAGGCCCAAATTTTACAGCTGTTGGAGGGTTGTTAGGACCCTGATCATATATATATATTCTGAATCCATAAAAGAACCCGCTCTTCGTGTATTCTGTACAATTTCCCAAGGAAACATTGTTATTATTTGCAAGTTTCTCTTCAATATCATAATTAAAATGTTAAAAGAGCTCCATAATTTCAGAGGGAATATGTCCATTAAAACTAGTGTTGATCACACTATTCTTTTATTATTATTAAGAGTAATAATACACATCATAAAAAAAAAAAAAATTGTTATGAACATTGTAAAAGTAGATATGTTAAAATTCAATTAATTCTATAAAAGTAAAATTTATGTTTAGTCCATGCTTTTTGGTTTTATATTATGTTATGAGACTTTTTTTGATTTCATATCATGATAAATATCATTTTAAAATATAATATCCGTTCCTCCTGAACAATAAAATGTTAACATAAAAGCCCCGTTCGTTAGATTTTTAATTGAAATTGACATTTAATTTGCTATATTAAAGGTCTTTTGGTAATTTTATGGTTTAAAATTTAATTTGAATTTAAACTAATTTAAATATTAAAAAAATCATAAATTTCTTTATTCTACAAAAAAAATTCATAAAATTTTTAACTTACATTCAATCAATAATTGATGTATCATAATTATAAGATCAAATTTTAAATAATTTTAAATTCAAACTAAATTTTAAATCATAGAATAACCAAAATATCTCAAAATAACAAATTAAATGTCAATTTTCAAAAAAAAAACCTAATGGATGAGGTTTTTTTTGTTAACATTTCATTGTTTATGAGGACAAATGTTACGTTTTAAAAATTGAAAGGTAAAGTGTTACAAAGAGTATAATTCAGGGGAGTTCTTGTAATTAATCCATCATTTTATAGTCTTCGATTCTATATCATGTAGACTAGATGTTAGTAAGAAACAATATGGTGATGATCAAAGAATATTCACCTCTTTTGTTATAGTCACGTAAGTGAGGACCAGGCATATGAGCAGTGACAAAAACGGCAGCAGAAACTTTGTTGGGAAACTTCTCCATGGCGATGGAGAGGCCCAGCCCACCCATACTATGGCCCACCAAGATAGCCCTCTCCTTTGGTTGGAGAGATTCCACGAAATCCATCAACGGCTGAATATAATCCAACACTGAACTATATTTAAGGTCATTAATCTGTCGTGGGTTGATCCCTGAAGCCGTTAGATCAATTGCTGTGACATTGTGACCGTTGGATTGTAAAAAGGCTGTGATTTTATACCAGCACCAAGCCCCATGACCACCCCCATGAACCAACACAAAGTGCCTCTTGGGGACTATTGTGCTGTTTGGGTCACTGTTTGATGAAATTATTGGATGCGTTTGGAATTGGTTCCAAAATGATTTTATTTTTTGTATGAAAATAGAAATGAAAACGTTTTCATTTTCATTTTAGAATTATTTCTGAAATGCGTTTCGTAGTTTTACTCAGAGATTGATTTCAGTTTTAAAAAAAACTGAAACTGCGTTTAGTGGTTTAATTTTTGAAAACATGTAATAATATTTAAATTAATAATATATTGAATAAATAATAATATTAAATATATTAAATAAATATTATTATTAAATATATTAAATAATAATATATTAAATAAATATTATTATTAAATATATTAAATAAGTATATTAATATAACATTATATATATATATATATGTTAG